GTAGTAAGTAGTAGTTTATTTTAGTATTTATATATTAAGGCATTTTAGACCCTTCCCACACTCTTGCAATATTCTAAACAATGTTTCTAAACACTAAAAGAGCACAGAATGTCATGATTTCAGCTCCTTGCCTCTGCTGCTCTCAGCCACCTGCAAGCGCTCTTGGCCACGCCCACTTCTCTGCTCTGCAGGGAGAACAGCTGATAAGCTGCAACAGGAAGCTTATCCTGCAGTGTGGGCTGCACAGAGGTTCATCAGGCGCTAAATAATTTAAAATAATTCATTTTAAATAAAAATTCCATGCCGATCTTGCGGCTCATCCATCAATCAGCCAATTGTGTGTCATGTCCACTCTTATTTTGAAAAACCGTGATAGAGCGAGTCTGCGATAAACGAACCGCAAAGTAGCGAGGGACTACTGTATTACATTATTAGTCATAATACCTTTAACTAAGCTGTTACATCTTTGTTTATTAGATATCTAATACCCTTCTATTAGTGTCTTTGCTACGTTTCACCCAGCCGGGGTGTCTGAGTTCACATTATTTTCCTTCCTCAGGTTTAAACATCAAAAACCAGCTCAGATTTCCTAAATCACTTCTGTGGTCTGTCCCTCTTCTTCCTCCCTTACCCTCAGGAGGATGACGATGGGCCCCTTGGAGCTCCAGAATATGACACCATCTCTGATAATTGCCTGTTGAGTCGCAATGAACCTATACGCACCAAGGTGTCCAAACTGACGGAGAAACTGCGTAAACGCTGTCCTGCTGCCGTCACTGGTCAGTCTGCTGACTCGCTCACTTATTTCATCTAGCGAATATTTCACGTCTTGCATCATATTTTCATCTTTCTGTTATTTACTTTTTCTCTGTCACTTAAGGCAACTGTTCCAGCTGCAATGCCGTTTTCTCAGTTCTGAAGAAGAGGGTGAGGCTGAAAGCTTGCTACAAGAATATTTACGTCTCATGTGACAAACAAATTTAACATTGTTATTAATTTATTGTTATTAAACTGATGTCGCTTGTGTTGCAGAGGAGCTGCAGTAATTGTGGCAACAGCTTTTGTTCACGATGCTGTTCTTTCAAGGTGTTGAGATCTTACATGGGGGCGACGGGTGAGTAGGAACACGAGTTCTGTGAAACATCAGAGCTTGAAACACTTCAGGGAGTGTCTCAGTGGGCCGCGACTCTTGGCAGTTACTCGTTGAGCAGCATCGTGAGGAAGTCTCTAAAATTAAATTCAGTTTGTTTATATAGCATATAGGTTTGAGAGGACAGGAAGTAGAAACAGACAAACATAGACTGGCAGGTCCAGATGTACTTTCTATAGGAGGAAAAATAAAAACAAAACCTTTAGGATAGAAATAATTACAAATACAAACAGGTAGAGTAGAGCAAGTAAAGACAGCAGCAGAGTAAGGAAATGCAGTCAGTTTGTCCTCCAGCAGTCTAAGCCTATAGCAGCTTAACTAAGGGATAGCTCCAGAAACCCAAGCCAACCCTAACTATAGGATTTATCAAAAAGGAAAGACTTAAGTCCAGTCTTGAAACTGGACAATGTGTCAACCTCACGGACAGAAACTGCAAGTTGGTTCCACAAGAGAGGAGCCTGAGAACTGAATGATGCCTCCCATTCTGCTTTTGGAAACTCTAGGAACCACAAGTAAACCTGCAGTCTGAGAGCAAAGTGCTCTGTTAGGAAAGTATGGAACAATAAGATGAAGATGAATAAAATGTGGAGGTTAAGTCCAAGAGGCTCGCAATCTTGTGAACTTTGAACAAGTTCAAAGCATTCATGCAAAACAGTTTGCTTTTAAAAAGTTGCAGAGTTTTCGCAGGTGTCTCGAACCTGTCTGAAGAGCTGGAGCTGCAGTTTTTACACCTGCATGTCAGCCATGTAACGGAAAACACAGCCTTGAAAAGTCGAGTTTAAAAACCACACCACAGATAACAAAGTTCATGCTCAATCATCCAGGTACCAAATCCAACAATTCTCAGTCAGGTCATCTGATGTGGCACGATGTGGGCAACAAAATAATGTGCACGGCCTTGATTTCCAAAAACTGTGTGCCCATAACAAGGCTACACAACGCTGGTCCCTCAATGGCAAACAGAATTCAGTGAGACGGCACATGGAAAATTATTATTATTTCCTCGTAATTCTGATTCATCAACTGGTCTCAGCCCAGTGAGACACAACTTTTTTGTTTGCATGACGCCTGTTTGTGCTTTGGTAGAAAAAATGATTAGCATGTGAACATTATCCCGTCTACTTTGAGTTTAATTTACTCGTAATTTTTTGTTTCTTTTTCAGCTCCCGAGGCACAGAGAGAGACGGTGTTTGTATGCGCCGCCTGTAACTCCTCCCTCACCAAGTCACAGTGAGATGGACAGTTCGTTTTGTCGCCAGAACCTTCACTGGAGCCCAAACAATTGTAAAGAAATCTCTTTTATGTGGAATTTCAGAACCTTCCTGCCTTTAGCAGCTGCATCTCTTCGTACTGTCACATGTTGCTTATGGGATTTGTGCTGTAACGTGTTGAGCTATTTCCTGCCTGAACGATCAGTGATGGATTGGACCTTATGAGTCTTGAAGGCTTCATACAGAGCTTTGTGGCCCCAGAAACAATGGACCTACTTTCTTTCTATCTGAGTGTAGAGGGGTGTAAACATGCACAGCAGAGGCCAAGACGTAGCTGGTGGATATCAATGTTTTTGCTGTTACCTGCTTTACCTTACCTGCCCTCTGCAGCAGGTAACTCATACTCTGTAGGGACAAAATAACAGTCCTGTAAATGTGAGATACTTTTTGATAGATGGTGAATAAGTACGCGTATTCACCAAACAACGATTATTGCGTCTTCATTCAGCTATGCAAGCAAAACCAGTGACTGCACAGGTTTTCTTGTTGGACTGAGTTTTCAACTGTTTCACGATCAGATGTGTTACTCTGACCTTCATTAGGTGAGTGAGCTTCTATTTATTCCACAAAAAACATATTGATCAATTATATATTTTATTTTGAAAGCAACCCTTTTAAAGTTTTGCTCGCTAGAATAATTGCTAAGTTTTGCTCTTTGGATAAAGAGTCTCACAAGTTGCAGAGGTGGTAAAACACACATCTTTAAGCAAAAAAGCACAACTTCTTGTACAATTGATTTAATATTTTAATTACCTCCTTCCATTTCTAATGTTTTTTTTTTTTTTCCTGTGTGGACAAATGAGCTTATAGCTGTTTCTCTAAAGTGTCTCTTCTAACTGGAATAATGGTTTTCCTTACTGGATTAAAGCCGTTTAAAAGGCTCAAGAAACAAAGTGATGTAATTCACAATAGCCTCACTCTCTCTTGCAAGCAGGACTTGACTAGAAGAATCAATTTTGAGGCATTAAAACTCAGAAAATGGACCTGATGGTTAAGTTAGTTTTTAAATTTGAATCAGACACAGATGATTGTAACTGCTTTGCTTTTATGGTAATATTACACTGTTCTTGTTACTGTAACCTCTTCTAACTGTTCTATATCTAATATATATTTAATTTAAAACTCCTGAAAGTGCTGTTTATTATTTAACTTGATGATTGTGTATATATTGGGCCCTATTTTTAAGGTAAGAATTATGCCGTTATTGAAATATACTGTGAGATTTTCATTTATTAAAAGTGAGTAGGGATATATGTATTCCCCCCCACCCCCCTTTTTTTTTGGGACACAGAATTTTAAAAGCACCTAAAATCGAAATTGTATTAACCTATCCCTGATGTAAAAATGTTATTACCATTTCAACCATTTCTTAGCAACGACATTAAACTTTATTATTTTGTTACTCAAAGAAGTTGTTTCCTGACAGAGTGTGAGTGTCATACAATGATATTTAAAAAGTACATCAAATGGTAAACTTACTAACAAACGTTTAGCAAAAAACACGTATTTGAAAGCCAAACTCTCTCTTTCAGGCATTCCACCCTGCCTAATCCCTGATATTTATTCTTGACAGTTTTACTCTGTCTTTTTTTCTTTCACGTTTAGCATCAGATTCACTTTTACACTTTCACCTAAACGTCTTCTCTGTGGTTCTACACTTGTCAGATTTCACCACATTTGTTTACCTACATAGACTATGGCAGCCCAGTGTAGGTCAACGTAGTGACTCAAGGTTCCTTGTTGGGGATTTAGCTGAGTGATTTGTTTACAATGAGCATAGATCTACATTTCCAGATTCCATATCAGTATATCTGGAAAACTTATTTCAAGCTGCAGCATAGTTCAAGGATAACCTTTTTATGTTTATGGTGATTTCATATTTTGCAATGAAATCAGTGAAAAGATGATTCAGACTCATTTCCAAAATGAGGGCATATATATTTTTTGTATTTCATTTATTATTTATTTGTATGGACTAAAAAAACCAAAAAAAAACAGATGACTCCTTTTACAGTTTTTAATTCAGTAGAGTAGTTTTACTTTAAATAAAGTTTTCCTTGTTAGTCAGGTAGCTTAAATGAATACTACTGGAAATGTTTTCCGTCATAAAGAAGTCCAGGCTATAATTTCTAAACCATTGAACTTTTCAGATTCTGACCCACAACGTAACAGTTATAATGTCCAGCTGTCATTAATATAACAATTAGATATAAACAGCCTCAACCACTTATTCACTTATTCAATTTATCAGATGTTCATTCTCGAGTGACCACATTTTCTAGTTTTATAATAAGTTTTATTTGATTTCTTGACATTATCTCAAGACCTTCCACGTGACATTTCATGAGCCCCGCCCCCTAATTTGGTACCCAACGTTTAAAACCATAAATGAGCGTTTCTATAATAAGCCCCGCCCCTGCTGTATTTAACCACGCCCCCTCCTGTCTTCGTCTCTAAAGCGATTTTCAGCACGCGGAGGGTCCGCCTCACGTCCACGGATGGCAACATGGCGACGGAGGTAAGCTGTCCTGTCTTTTTATTTCACGCTCATGTTTCGGTAAAATGTGTAGATATTATAATAACGACTTCAACAAACAAACAAATAAAATTAATGAAGGGCGGGAGCCATTAAGCGACTCCTCTCACTTGTCCTACATCACTCGCTTATCGTCAAGGTTGTGATCATTATATTACTTAAAATAAAATAAAAAAAAGGAATAACCGCAAATAGGGAGACTTGAGAGTCAGCTGTGTGACGCGGAGGCAGAAATTTATCATAAACAGCAGATTAACGTCATGTTAAGCTGTTTTGGTGAAAGCAGGCCATTTTTTTTTTTTTTTTCCACTTTAATCCGGTGGCGACTCGGTTTGACCAGACTCGAACACTGAAGACAGAAGCCACAACTCTTCTTACACATCCTCATGGAACATGATATCCTGTGATTTGCAATGCCTGGATGGCCTTTTCTCAGCCTGCCTCATCATGTTCCCCCTCATCGATCTGTTGTGAGATGTAGTGAAATGTCACCTCCTGCAGAGCTGCTCCTCCCTGAAACACCAGAGGGGAGAAGAAGGGAAGTAATCTCAGTGTGGATGAGGTTGCATGTCCAGTTCTGGGTTCTGCTCCAACAGACAACCATGCAGAGCAAACTGCAAACACTGAGCCACAGAGCGCTTGATGCATTCTGTCTGCTCCCACTCCATCACCCCACACCTCCATCTGTTTGCACACAAGTGAACCGAGGTCTCCCCGGAGACTCGTTAAACGGATACTGTAATATCCCTTACGCTACTATTGCTTTGTCCTTAGTTTCACAACCTGCAGGAGTTGAGGCACAGTGCGTCTCTTGCCAACAAAGTGTTCGTCCAGAGGGACTACAGCGAAGGGACGACATGCAGGTTTCAGACTAAGTTCCCGTCTGATCTGGAGAGCAGGGTAAGAAATGGTTTTTCTATCTTCCTTGGGGGGGTCACCACAGCAAACTAACTCGTACAAAGACTTGATTGTTTTTACGCCGGATGCCCTTCCTGACGCAACCGCAGACCACCGAGCTACCACAGCGCTCTGTGTGTTAATGTTGGTGGTCTGAGCGACCTTCCAATCACAGGCTCGCCTTCTCTAACCTCTGCACCATCGCTCTTTTAAATGGGTTTTCTATCTAACGTGCTTTTAGTGGGGACCAAAACAGTTGCACAATACCGCCTCATTTTCTCATTTATGCTGCTTTGAGTCGGTGTTGCAAAAACTAAGTGAAACTTCATCACAAAATCCAGAATGCTAAGACTGCTACATAGAAACGCGTTTACCAAAATATCTGAGGCCATTAGTTCTCGTATGGACAAAGGCAGCCGAACTTCTAGGTCAAGTGTTCCTGAGTCTTGTACATGAGAACTTCATCGTATAAAGCAGGTGATAGATCAATGGAGTGAGGCCTAGTCCTTGGTAATTAGGGTGTTGTTCTGGTCTGTCAGGGTGAAGAAAGAGCTGAGCCAAAAGGCAAAGCTATGGATTTACTGGTCTATGTTTCAACCTATGGTCATGAGCTTTTGGAAACGAGCAGCTACAATGGACTTCCTCTCTGAAGGGTGGCCAGGCTCAGCCTTAAGGATAAGTTGAGTAATTAGCAGTATAAGCTGATGGCAATGTATTTTTTTTACTCCGACTCAACTCCGCTTTATTGTCCTCGAAATTTGCGCTGCATTATATGCTTTTATTGTGAAAACTATAGAAATGTGTTCACTAATATAGTTTTTACAGCACTATGGTGGTGATTAATTGAAGGAAACTCAAAATGAATGGAAGCATAATTAAATAGTTTATCATTGGAACAATCTCTACTTTTTAACCAGTCATATTAAATTTTGAGCTTGGGCCTGCAGAGAATTTTATTTCTTCGTCACAATTCTGACATTGAACCATCTTGAACTTCTTCTTTTCTTGTTCTGTTTTTCATTCAACCTTTATTTGTACAGGCTAGCCTCATTGAGCCACGCGTGGGGACTCATTTACAAGAGAGACCTGTTCCAGACACGACGTATAAAGAACAGACAACAAAACAGTAAACGATGACGACAACAAACTACAGTAAAAATGCAGTTAAAATGTATAAAACAATAAACCAGGATGCTGTAAAAAAAAGAAAAAAAAAAGGTGACTTACTAAAAACAAGAACATATTCGCGTTGATTTTTCTATTGACATTATCTGTCCCTTGTTCTGTTCCCTGAATGATAAGAAAGGACTAATTTGCACATGCAAGGATCATAGAAAAGAAAATCAAGTTACATCTGAACTCTGGACTGTAAATCGATAGTTTCTTGAAAAAATAGCAAATAAGCATGGCCCAGTTGTGACCAGTTAATATAGTTTTAGAGAAAGACAAGAGAAAGGCTTCGGATGGAGGAAGTGGTTCTGAACTGTAGTCTTTAATGTAGGTTTGGGAACTCGGTCGGCATTTCTCCTGTCCTCAGTTTACGTATCTCCTCGGTTTGATCAGTGGAATGGTATTCTGTTGATGTTCATCTATCTTGGGTTATGTGTCCTACAGATTGAGCGTACTCTGTTCGAGGACACCGTGAAGACGCTGAACAACTTTTATGCAGAGGCAGAAAAGATCGGAGGACAGTCGTACCTGGAGGGCTGTCTGGCCTGTGCCACGGCTTATCTCATCTTCCTCTGCACGGAGACACGATACGAGAAGGTCGGGCTGCTCGCCTTCGACTTTAGGCATTTTTAAACTCCGTGTGAGTTTAATGTGATTAGCCTCCCACACGTTTTCTCACCTTATTTTGTCCAATCTTTGTGTCAGGTGTTGAAGAAGATAGCCAAGTACATTCAAGAACAGAACGAGAAGATCTATGCTCCCCGAGGTCTGCTGATCACGGACCCCATAGAGAGGGGAATGCGTGTTGTATCCTTGCTCGTTTAGGGTAAGCATAAAAATGTAAAGTGTACTCCAGAGTGCAGTGTCCTTAACGCCATTCACCAGATTGAAATATCAATCTATGAAGACCGAGGTTCCAGTGGCTCCAGCTCAGGCAGCAGCTCCGTGTCCGGCAGCACTGCTCGATGACCAGGACACTTTTGGAAAACCAAGCCCGCTTGGAGGAGAATCGTGGACAGTGATAACACTCATGTTCCAACATCCTGTGCACCATCACACAAAGGATTCACCAGATTTTTGAACATATTCATGCTCCTGACCCATCATCATAAGGTTTTCCACAGCAGATGCTTAAACACAAGTTAGCTGCAAAGATGCACTGAGTTTCACTGAGTGAGACGTGAGCATGAAGGAGTGGTGGTGGTTTCATGCTCTGAAAGGATGCAACAAGAACTGGGTTTTCAATTACTTTGAAAGAACTGCTGGTGCCAAAATCTACTTTAGTGTTCTGGTTCACAACTGATTCTACTTAAAATAACCAAGGGTTCCCAACCCTGGTCCTTGAGGAACACCATCCTGCATGTCTTGGTTGTTTCTCTGCTCTGACGCACCAGATTTTAATAAATGAGTGATTTACAGGCTTCTGCAGAACGTGAGCAACTAATTAAATCACTGAATCAGGTGTGTTGGAGCAGGGAACCAACTAAAACATGCAGGATGGTGTTCCTCAAGGCTCAGTGTTGGGAACCACTGCTTTAGAACTCCCCTGGCAAACCTCACATAAGCAGAGAGAGAACACGCAAACTCGGCCAAGATTTAAAGTCACCTTTTAATATCTGGATTTAGGCACAATTATTAGTCTACTTCAAAGGTTACTGTCAGTGATGATTTCTAAGAATTAGTTGAAATTTGAGGTAAATTACCTGAAGGACCATCACTTTAACTTGCAGGGCACTTTTTTAAGGCCTATAACTTAGGACATAAACGGGAAACCCTTTTCTGCTCTACAAGCCATTTTTCGTGGGATTGCACAGTTTCATTCTCCGAAGCCAAAAATAGTTGTTTGGACAGAAAAGGAAACCACAAGCTTCACTGAACCTCATACCCCACCCAACTCGGAGCTGCACCACACAGTTCAGATCGAACGCAGAGCGGCCAGGAGACTCGACCAAACCAATCCAAATCAGCACTGCACGCTAAACACTGGATTTCTCATTCTGATGTTGACCTCCTTACAGATTTCTGTAACAGTTGTCACAATTTCATGTTTCACATTGTTGCTATCAGACAAAGATAACCAGAGTAAATACAAAATGCAGCATTTAATATTTTTAATTTATTAAGAGAATAATTGATCTAATCCAATGTGGTTATGTGAGAAAAATCAACTACCCCCCAAGTCCATTAACGGGTTGTAGCAACAACTGCAGTCAAGCATTTCTGAGTTTTTCTCATCACTGTGGAGGAACGTTGCTGCTCTGCTTTAGATCATCGTCCTGCTGCAGAACACAAGTGTTCCCGAGCTCAAGGTCCCAAACTTTACGAAGGTAGAGAGCAGAATTCATGTTTCCACCGACTGCAGCCAGTCAAACATGTTCTGAAGCAGTAAAACAGCCCCAGACCATCACACTACCACCACCATGTTTTACTCTTGGTGTGATGTTCTAATGAGACAAACATCTTCCAAAATCCTCCACTTTTGTCTCATCAGTCCACAGAATGTTTCCCCCAAAGTCTTGGAGATAATCAAGACTTTTTGTTTTTTATTTTACCGAATGTGAGATGTGTTATTATTGGTCAGTAATGGCGACCTCTCCGCCTCGTTCTTATTATTGAATCTTTTAATTAACTTTGAGTTAGGTGAGGCCTGCAGAGCTTTAGATGTTTGGATCCTTAAGGATGAGACGCCGAAGCGCTCGTGGAGTAATTTTGGTGGCTGATCCTGGGAAGGCTCACCACTGTTCCAGGTTTTCTCCATTTGTAGATAATGGCTCCCTTTAGAGCAGTGGTTCCCAACCCTGGTCCCTGAGGAACACCATCCTGCATGTTTTAGTTGTTTCTCTGCTCCGACACACCTGATTCAGTGATTTCATTACTTCATCAAGTTCTGTAGAAGTCTTTCAATCACCCATTCATTCAAACCCAGTGTCAAAGCAGGGGAACAATTAAAACATATGGTGTTCCTCAAGGACCAGGGTTGGGCACCACTAACTTTGGGGATTTCTTTTTTACTCTACTATAGCAGAATTACTTTCTCACACAGGGCCAGGTAAAAAATAAAATCATTTGAAAACTGCATTTTGTATTTACGTAGGTTACATTTATCTTATTAAAAAAAAAAAAAAATCTGTAATTTGAAACATTTTAAGAGTGACCAAAAAAAAGACTAATCTGTGAGGGGGTGAATTTTTTCTGTTACGACGATCACCTGCCAAAAAGTCCAACAGTATTAAGCACTTGTTCCTTTTCACCTCTGCTCCAAACCACTGTAAGCTGATGAATGTCAACCCAGTCATGTGCACAATGTAGCAGATCGTCCTTTTGTTTCCCACGAAGCCGGAGTTGTTTTTTTATGTATTTAGTCCGTTTTTTTTTAGACAGACGGTGTGAGCGAGCACACTGCGAGACGCTTCCTAAATTTGAATTATGCAAAGACTCACTGAGCTTTAAGTCCAGCTGTAAGCCGAACGAAGGACGGGACAAAACGTCTTCCTGAATCTTCAGTGTTTTTGAATTACACCAACCCTTCCTTGATTTATGGACAAACTTCCAAAGAACACAAACCATCAAAAATCAGCTCTTACTGTAAATGAGAAGACTTTTTTTTTTTTTTTAAATGACCTTTAGTGTAAGAACATATTTTCATACTGCTTGTTTAATTAGCTTGTTTTAATGTCAAATAAACGGTGTCATCAGAACTTTTTCTTTTCTTCTGATTTTGTTTGTTGGCGATTTTTATCTTCTCACAAACGAAAAGGCACAAAGCTCCAATTAATTTAGGTTGTTGGGTAACAAAAACTTATTTTCCTCCATGAGCAACAACTTCTGAATCCTGAATGCACATTGATCAGGCTGTGGGACTACAGAGCTGTTGACGCTGATCAGCTTTTTTTATATTAATAACTGTTTAAACATGAAGGAAGCCCCAAACGACCTTCCTTTCAGCAGGTTTTTTTATTTGTCATGATTTTTAGCAGCAGAGGTTTTTAACCAGAGATAATAATTTAAGTGGTAAACGAGAAAAAAATGATTATCTCATTGGTAGAAAGTTCTAATTACCAAGGTAAATTGTTTTAATTAAAACCCGTCATTTGTTAAAGCATCTCCAAATATTTAAATTCCGACACGCCTTCAAGGGGATGAAATTATAATCTGGAATTAGGATAAAAATAATTGGATTCTACAGTTTGGGCTTAAAATTCAGATAGACACTAATTTTGAAGCACATTTTATTTCAGGTAAATTACCGTATTTTTGGCCGTATATGTTGCATCAGTTCAAATGTCTAATAAAGTGGAAAAATCCATAAATATGTCGCTTCGCTGTATACGTCGCATCTATTATGCGTCACCGCTGACCACCTGGAAATGTGGGCCGATGTTGTGCCAAAAATCGATTGGCTGCCAAATGTAGGCCGTGGGGGCGTGCACGGGAGGACAAGAATTTAACAAAATTAACACTTAAAAACAATTATTTGTTTGCTAGACTTTATAGCAAAGATGTGTCTCAATTGAACTTTTCCTTAATAAATGCACTTCGATGAAGGTGGCAGGCTCTGGCAAGCCAATTGTCATTAATAGCAACTTTTACCTATTACATGACATAACGGCATGCCATAAACGTCTCTCGCCATCTAGCGGCTGAAAATGGTAGTGTTCAATATTTCTGTCAGAATGAATAACAGTCATATCTCAAAAATTGGTTTATAAATATGGGAAAAATACACGAGTAAGTTGCTTCAGCGTATAAGTCACAGGGCATGCAAATTATGCAACAACAAAAAAAAAACCTGCGACGTATAGGGTGAAAAATACACACATTAGTACTTATGTGGCAATTTTTTTAATTTACTTAATGACATTTTAATAGTAATGGTAAATATGTAGTGCTTTCTTGAAAAAAGAAAATATCCTTATCTGATACTTATCATTAAACCTTTATTTTACCAGGAAGAAAATCCAGAAAACTCGATAACCGTTGGTTGATAAACAAAATCAAATAGACAACAAACAGTATTTACTTGACTCGGCTCCAGGATTCTGCTGCTGCGCCTGCAAACTCTCGGTCACATTAAATCAAAGATTGGAGTTAAAAACGACATTAATACTTGTATGTTTAAAATATTTGTCTAATAATTTACTGCAGCTCCTCAGACTGATGAATTGTTTCGTATTAAGACGAAAGGTTTCAACAAGTTTTTATTTTTCTGAATCCGTCCAGAGGACCTGACTTAACGGTTTGATTTTTCTACCTGGATTATTGAGCATGCATCAGGATGACATTATTTTACAATGAAATATATAGTTATTTTACGATTTGCACTTTTTATTTTTTTTTACATTATTACATAGGTTGAGCTATTTCACCATTTAAATGTCAAAATGTTTAGCATTTTGCTACTTTTAGCTTTGACGTTGCCGTTTTCAGCTCTTCAAAATGCTGAATTCTATAAATTAACGTTTTCCTTTTTGCCTAGCAATTTCCTTTTGCTCCTTTTAGCTTCTGTCCTGCTCGTTTTAACCTAAACGTCCGTTTTATCTTTTTCTGCTAATTTCACAAGCACTCGGCGTTTGTGCTGCATTTTCATTTCTCTGGTTTCAGGTTGTGACAAACTGGTGACTTCCTTTCTTCTGCATTTCTGTCTGCCAGACTGGTGCAACACCTCTGAATCTTTGGTAAAAGCATTACATCGTGCATCGAGCTCGACACAAAGAAAACATCCAGGCAGCAGGTTGTCACGTCTGTAAGCTGCCGTGTCACCCTGTGGACAGCTCCCACCTCAGATCTGCCAGAACAGACGGCACAGAGACGCTCTGAGGTGAAAATGTGACAAAACACAAGGCTTTGGATGAAACTGAAGAACGACGGTTGTTGTGAAACGGTACCAAGGCTGCAGGGTGGAAGGAGTGAAGGAGAACAAAAACAGTGGAAGTGACATTAAACTAGAAACAAGATGAAATGTTGGTCACAAGACATTTATTTGGTCTTTTTTTATTGTCCATTTTACTGCTAATTCAAATTTTCTAACTTCCAGTGTCTGCTCTTTTCCTGCTTGTTGTCAAAGTACAGATGAGAGGATAATGTAACTTGGAGCACATAGAAACATTTATGCATCTACAAAATAAAATTCTGACACATGCAGGGTAATGAACCACTTTATTTAACAAATTTAAAGCAGTAAAAATGAGTCGCAAAAAAAATTAAAAACAAACATGGAAGCTTCCCTTTCAAAACGCAGATAAAAACACATTTTCTCTAACAATATTTCGCTCTGCATCAACTTAATGGAATTTCATGCAATTTTCCTCAAACACCTGTTGAAACAAAACACAATGAAAACATGTTTGTTATAAAAAATTTTTTTTTTTTTTTTTAATTTTGCTTACCTGCACAGCGGCCATTCTTGACAATAAAGCCGTTACCACACTGAAAATGTGAAGAAAAATATTACCACCAAATGAGCAGCGATATTATTTTGTGATATATTCTGGTCTAATTCAGTGACTCTGACTTTGAAAAATTGTCTTTATTATATATGTATTTTTTATTTAAATTTATATAAATAATAAATAAATAAATTTATTTATTTTTATTTTTTTATTCCTCCTGCTCTGCTCTCTGTCTGTCTGAAGCGCCTGGTTCACATCTCCCGAACATAAATTAAGAAGATTATGGATTTGGTATCGTGGGCGTTCAACTCAATTGATAAGATTTTTTTCATCAAAACGAACAAGGTCCTGGGGAACCGGCATGTCCAGCTGAGACTCACGCTGTGGGGTACGTCATGGATTCGTGGGGAGTGTGGCAGATGATGTGCCTCTCTGTTCTGTCTCAAGAAGATGTTGAAGACGTTTACATATTTGGACTTCTGATAGCAGGGACTCTGCTTTTTGGCATCGGCGGGGCTCTGTTTTATCGACTTTTGAAGAAGACATCGGGAGCAGTTTTGGCCATGGAAAAGCTCCTGAGTCAGTGTGAAGGTCTGGTACTCGCTGTGGGAACTTTAAATCGTCTGGTCTACAAGCTTAACCGTAAGGTGGAGGCGATTGAGAATCGCAGACCACCTGCGGCTTCTGGGACTCGTCAGCGTGGTGGGTTCGACCTTGAAGGAGACTCAGCATGGATCAGTGAAACTTAATTCCACAATTAGGCTTTTTCGGAACCAGAACGCCCAGATGGACTCAAGGCTGAAGAAAAACAAAATCAAGCTTATCTAATCTGACTCCCGACGGCCTCGGAGACGGGCTGACTATCAAATTTCTCCTGGGACATGAGTACCCAAGGACAAATATTATCTGATAAGGATAAAATGGCCGCGCTCTCCTGTAGTTGCAGCTTCGTGCACTCCGCCCATCTTTCGGACGACTGTACGTACATATTCGCGTTGTACCTTGGTGCAATTCCAATAAAGTTTATTCTGATTCTGATTAAAAAAGTATTTATCTTTAACAAAGTGAAGAAAGACTTTTTTTGGTAAAAAATATTTGTTGAGTGAAGTCAAGAAATACACCTTTTTATATATATATATAAAGCAAGAATTTCTTAATGATACTGAAGTCAAGAAATACTATTTTATTTTTTATTAAAAAAAGTATGTTTAATGAAGTCAAGAAATACTTTTTTTTAATATGCATTTTTTTCCTGAAACAGTTTTTAAGTTCAACTTTATATGTCAGGAGATACATTGTTGATGTTACCATTAAAATACACTTTCAGTAAATTGGCAAACTCCATGTAATTTTTATGTTGAGGCGGCGGAGGGTTGTTGCCAGCAGTTGTTGAAAGTAACTTGTAATCTAACTTAGTTACTTTCCAAATCAAGTAATCAGTAACTTAACTAAGTTACTTTTTCAATGTAACTATGCCATCACTGGTCTAATAATACTATTTTTTTTTTGTTTTTAATAAAACAAAATTTCAATGAAAAAAACAGTAGTGAAAAATTTGATGTTTTTGTTATTTTTAAGCGATTTACAGAAACTGAGTGGAATAAAATCCATTTTGTGAGTTTTCGTTGCGTACCTGCGTGTCGTTGCTGAGCACCGATGCGTCTTTGGGAAAGGCGATTTCCATCACGGAGTTCATTTCTCCGGCTTCAAGAACTCGACTGGTGGTCGTGCCATCAGGCCAGGAGAACTCCAACACTTTCACCTCATCCGTTCCTGCAAGTTACCGATGTTAAAAACTTTACTCATGGTAGATCTTTCTTTTAACACTTTTTCTTTATAGTTTTATCTTCGCCGTGAGCAGTATTTATGTTGCATTTACTTACTTCCATGTGTTTAAGTTCATTTGGTTGCAATCTGCAGTTTAGCCACTAGATGTCGCTACATTAAAAAGCCTTGAACGTCTAATTTTGTTGCACAAAAATAAATTTACTTTTCAGTCCACATGTTTCTGTAAAAGACTAAACATCCACAACTCTGAATCTATAACTCTGGATCCAGTTTTGATATTTGGTCTTTCTGTACATCAAATAAATTTTCCTCAGAACGCCCTCTGGTAAATTCCTAATCACATCTGAAGCAACTTTTAGGACCATAATCTGGCAAACCCATCCTCACCAGAAGATTATTTTTCTTCTGATGATTCTGAATTTTCATTTGATGAACTTATTGTTCTGCTCTCCACCTTCCTTTAATTTCATTGCTTCAAAGTAATTTTATGGAATTAATTCTTCTATTGTTTATTATTTTTTATGTTCTATTTTTTTTTTTAATATCTTGAATTTTTAGTTTTTGCATTATTAAGCACTTGGCGTAAAATCCAACCAAGTTAAATCAGGTCTTCTGGACGGTTTCTTTTTTTGTTGTTGAAACGTTTCGTCCTTTATCCAAAGGACTTCATCAGTCCAAGGAGCCTTTTTTACTTGGATTATTGAGCATGAACTCTGATGTTTTGAACCACTTTGGCCATGGCTGCCTCAAAGGAGTTGACGGGGAAGAGGGCGGGCTCCAGAAACCATCTTAACAGCAGCAAACTGGTTGGCCCACTGTGAGTGTGCTGCTTGTGAGACTGAGTTTCTTGTGGCTCCTCGAACTGACGAGGTCCTTTGGATGAAGAACGAAACGATTCAACAACAACAAAAAAAGAAACGGTCCAGATGACCCGACTGAACTTTGTTGGGCTGGTGGATTTAACTGACAACTCCGAAGACATCATCAAAATAATCCGAGTTCATCAGAAATAAAATAGTGAAAAAAATGTAACTGCCCAAGTCAGTTTTTAGACATATCTGCCTTTTTCCTCAAACAATTCATCTGTTGGTGTCAAACTAAATGTTTTTAGAGTTTGTCAAACATTAGGAAGGTTAACCTTGAGTTGTAAAAGACAATGCATGCTAATGAAACCAAAGTGCATGCTGGGTATATTGTTTTTTGTTAACAGTAATAAATTGTGGCATTGTACAAACCGTACCTAAACCAAAGTGTGCGACGGGCTCCATCTCACACAGATACCCAGAGCCGCCATCAATGATGCGTGTCATAGCTCCACTCCGACCAGTGAACGCCGTTACTTTGGCACCGCGGGCAAATGCACCAAACTGGGTACGAGGAACGACTCGCAGCCAGTTGTTGGACGAGCCCTGACGTCAAGAATAATAACCAGTTAGTTTGAGGGGAACCAGAGTCCAGCTATGGTGAGCCCACGTGAACGAGCACGCACCTGTGTAACCTTGAAGACTGAGATTGGCTGCTGAGCGCTTTCCCCATGCGCCAGCAGCAGGTCCAGCTGTCCATCCCCGTCCAGGTCGGTCACAGTTCCACCTGTTTGTGTTAGCAAAATAACTCATGAGCCACTGGACAGATTCCGATGACACTTTAAGGGCGGAGTCATCCCAGTTCAAGAAGGCAGCCATAACTGACTGACCCCAGGAAACACGAAGGAGCTATAACTCTGTCATTTTACAGGTAATGAGTTTGGTTGGTAGTAGCTGAGGGTGTTACCCAACACATGGGGGCGGCTGTGGCTGAGTGGTTAGAGCAGTTGTCCTTCAATGAGAGAGTTGGGGGTTCGATTCCACCAGCAGTCATGCTGAAGTGCCCCTGGGCAAGACACTGAACCCCTCATTGCCTCAGATTTGTCCAATCGGTGTATGAATGTGATCTAAAGCACTGATTAGTCTTTGTATAGATCTAGTAGAGTGCTGTATGAATGGGTAAATGAGGTCACAGATTGTGTTGTAAAGTACGTTGAGTATCTTGATTAGATAGAAATGTGCTATACAAGTACAGTCCATTTACCATTTACATACTTTCTTTGCCTGCTAACTCACTACACTGAGTCATAATGCACATGGTGTTTTTCAGGTTTGACCAAACGGGTATACTTTTACTCAGTTATTTCTTGATGCAAAAAGATATTTTAAATTGACATAAAATGTGGCGGGCGATATGCATTCCTTCAAAGAGTCATGTACCACAAAGAATTGATGCAAAGCAGAGAGGTAGATGAGTTCAGACAGATGGAAAATAACATCCAAAGTGAGAATACGTGACCTGTTCCTCTCCCCTGTGGCTCCACAGCGTCTCCTACATTAAGCTCTTCAATTAAAGGGTCAGCATTAGCTCTTCTTGACACCCTGCAAACAAACACAAAAATCTAATTAAAAATCAGAAACGTTTGTAAAAGTTACTGCATTTTATCTTTTAAGAACATTTATTATTGAATGCAACCTGAATAGCCTGTTCGGGGCGTTTCCTCTGTATGCGATGTTGTTAAAAAACACCTCCAGCTCCTGGTCATTATCAAAGTCAGCAGCGATGACGGTGCGGACGGGCGAGGGGTCGGAAAATCCTCCACTGGCTATGTTCTGTGCAACAAAAACATTAAACTGTCAATCCAACATTTTTGAGTCAGGTCATCTGGACAGTTTTTATTTTTTGTGCTGAAACATTTCGCCTTCGATCCAGAAGGCTTCATCAGTCAAGAAAACACAACAAAACTGATTTTTCCCCAACAGCTTACTCCAAAGTGGAACAAACCAGTTATGTTGGTGCTAAGAAGGGTTAAGAGGGCCGGCAATGGAGGAGGGGGTGTGACAAAGAGACCGTCTTAGCACCAACATAACTGGTTTGTTCCACTTTGGAGTAAGCTGTTGGGGGAAAAATCAGTTTTGTGTTGTGTTTCTATGACTGATGAAGCCTTCTGGATCAAAGTTGAAAAGTTTCAGTACAAAAAAAAAGAAACTGTCCAGATGACCTGACTCAAAAATGTTGGATTGTATACCTGGCTTATTGAGCATGGACTATGCTATTAAACTGTCAAGGCACAAAATCTTTTATTTTAACCAACGTAAATCAACCACTTCCTGTTGCCCTGATGTTCATTGTTCCCGTTCCTTACATGAAATTTGGCGTCGCCGGTCTGTAAATAAAGTCGGTGTGGCCCATTCCAGTTGCCATAGATGATGTCTGTCCTTCCATCGCCATTGAAGTCAGCGAGGGCCACTCCTCTGCCGTGCTGGAACCGGTCCTCTACACCTTTTACACACGAGCACATCAAAACAATGCAACACTTTGCAGGACTCAATAGTGAAGACTAAAACTTAAACCAGGGGGGTCGAAACGTTTTAACATGTGGGTCAAAACTATTGATGAAAGGACTCATAGGCCACAAAAATGTGAATTTAACTCTCAACATGAACAATATTTTGGAGAAAAGACAAAGATTTTACTCATTTTGGTGGAGAATGAGTTTAAAATTGTTGTAGATCCAAAACAAAAGCATCATAAACACTAAGTTTATATGTTTTATTAAAAAAGATTTGATTTATTTGATTTGTTGGGTCTATGTTTGTTGTTTTCTTGTGTTTGGAAAGTTCATTTTAGTCTGTTCTCAGCAACAAAAGCGTAATTTCACTAAGTGTCCTTTTAAAAGGGACCATGGACGGCTCAGAAGGCTGATGAAAGTTCTGAAAAACCATCCAGCTGTCAGTCGCTACAACAGATTCATAGAAGGTTTGATAAAGTTGATCAACTCGTATGTAGATGATACCACGTTATATTCATCTAAAAATGTCCAATTTCCCTCTTTCTTATTTTATCAGTTTTAATATTTAGCCAAGTTTTATGAAGCTTTACCTAAAAGTTTCCTTTCTGATAGAAACCAGTAAAGGTTTTTGGTGCTTTGTACCAGGAAGTGAAAATAAAAAGATTATACTCAAAGGTTTGTATTTTCTCACGTGGGCAATGACAGTGAGACCTGGAGGTGTGTGGTTGGGAGGAACGGCCCCCCGATCTGAACCCGAGTGGTGTTCTGTTGTTGGACTTCTGTGCTCATCATGGATTGTCCATAACGAACACCATGTCCAAGCATAAGGGTGTCCATATGTGCTCTTGGCACCAGGACGCGCTACGCCGCAGTTCGACGATCGACTTTGTTGTCGTCTCATCTGATCTGCGGCCGCATGTCTTGGACACTCGGGTGAAGAAAGGAGCGGAGCTGTCCACTGATCACTACCTGGTGGTGAGTTGGCTCCGATGGTGGGGGAGGATGCCGGTCAGACCTGGCAGGCCCAAACGTATTGTGAGAATCTGCTGGGAACATCTGGCAGTCTCCCGTGAGATGGAGCTTTAACTCCCACCTCTGGGAGAACTTTGAACACGTTCCGTGGGAGGTGGGGGACATGGAGTCTTAAGCTGCTACACCTGCGACCCGACCCCGGATAAGCAAAAGAAAATGGATGGATGGTTTTGGACGTGGGCTACACTGTCGAGACAGAATGAGTGATCAGTGCTGTGTTTTTATCTGAAACGTGAAAAACATTTACTGGAAACATGATCGACCTAAACTGATTCTTTAAATGCTCAACCGGACAAAGATGGAACGCTCCTTCCAGGTCAGAGTCTCTGCCTTAAGAGAAGTTCAAGTAATTTGAAATCTTTTTTATGAATTATTGTAGAATGGAGCAGGGAGTTGAATCAACAAATTGAGGCCTCATCCACAGTAATAGGGGATGTTGCGCTGGTCTGTCCAAGTGAAGAAAGAGCCGAGCCAAAAGGCAAAGCTCTCGATTTACTGGCTTGTCTATATTCCAACCCTCACCTATGGTCATGAGATGTGAATCTTGACCAGGGAACAAGATTCTGGACACACGCTACCAAAATGGGCTTCCTCCGTAGGATGGCCAGACTCAGCCTTAGAGATCAGTTGAGGAACTTTGTCATCCGGCTCAGAGTAGAAGTCAGCAGAGGTGGTTCAGGCATCTGATTAGGATGCCTCCTGAATCCCTTTGTTGGTTTTCTCGACACATCCAGGGCAGACCCTGAACTCGGTGGAGTTATTGTATATCTGCTCTGGCCTGAGAACGACTTGGGATCCAGAAGGATCTGGAAAGTGTCATTGGAGGGAGGTCTGGGTTTCCTTTCTAAACCTGCTGCAACAGCAACTCACAGAAAATGTATGCATGTATTTATGTCTGGATATTTTGTTAAATTGGCTATAAAGTGTTTTTAAAACATCTCATTATATATTATCTTCTTGTCTAGTTTAATTTATGACCTGCCCGTCTGGCCATGTTCACAAAGGTGCCGTCTCCGTTGTTCTTAAACAGGAAGTTGGGTCCGTTCTCGTTGTCACAGAACACGTCAGACCTCATCTGGCTCAGGATCGGTCCAACGACTACACCGCGACCACCTGAACAGCAAGCGGAGCACACGGCGAAGGCCTCTGTTGATTAAGGTCACGTCAGACTTGGGCAGGTTCCATTTCTGCAGCTTCACCTGTGAGCTTGTTGACTCCAGCCTCAGCAGCTACATTGGTCAGGGAAATCACTCCTCTGGTCACATCGCTGGCTGCTTCGTCCATTTCTAGAAGAGCGTGGGGGCCAACCTGACCTTGGGCGTAGTTTGCTACATAGACGGAGTAGTGACCTGTTCCCTGCAGTAGAGAAACCATGACACACTTAGAAAACAGCAAATGGAGACTACAGAAAGGGGGAAAGACAAATAATGAGTAAGTAAAGACCTTTCTGTCAACACATGCAACAGAACGTCCAGCCATTTGATTGGCAACACCACGGCGAGTGTTGACTTCATCACTGAGCAAATCCTCATAGCGACCATTACGAAACTTGAAGAGCTTGTCTGAATATGTTGCCCGCCCTGCGCAAACAGTATATTTTATCATGACGGATCAGGTACCTGAGGCTGAACATGACAATGTAAGTCCTATTCCTACCAGAGTAGGCATTGTTTGTGTTGAGGAAGTAGATCTCTTCCCGTCCATCTCCATCCACATCACAGGCTGTAACTCCAATAGCATTTCCCTGTCGGTCCCTCAGCGCAAAGTACGGCGAGTTAATGTCATCGGTAGCGATGTTTACCAGCTTGTTTTGGGTATGGTTATACTTCAACACCAAGTTTGGCCCGTTGTACCTGGTGGTGAATGAGTTTGTTTTACTCACACTGGAGTATGCTGTCATTCCAGCAGCACCTTCAACTTTAAAGATTTGACTACTCACCCTGCCACCACCACCTCCAAGTCACCATCCCCATCCACATCAGTCACAGCCATGCCATAGTTGAGCTGTGTGGGGTTGTGCACACTGTCGGGTGGAAGCACTGTCTGGGTTATGACCTGGAACATGGGCTCAGAGTTCTGGGCATCACACTGAACCCAGAGGGTGATGAAAAGGAGCAGCAGACCTGAATCCCACATTACTGCAACATGCTGAAAAACAACAACAAAAAACACTTGACTGCAACTCAGTTCAAAATGCATCTTTTTATTTAATTTTGGGACACATAATCATTTCGTAAATCACATCAGCACTTTCAAATGCAAGGCAAAACACAATCCTATTTTGTGGTCCAAAAGTCCATCCATCCAGATATCTTAATCAAACTTTGCATGCAGAACTGGTTGCTTCAAGACATCTTTTATAATCACAAACTCTCTTACCGTGACAGTGCACAGAGATACAGCCGATCTAATCTTTCTAAAATAAACCCACGTCGGAGTTTTATATAAGAAGCTGTTTACCTTACATAACTTCTACATCTATATTTTATGAAAGAGCTTGTGTAATGTGGGGGATTCTGGCCAATCAGAGAGCAGATATCTGAAGAATTAGGAAATTGGCCAATGGGAGACCTGCATTTCTGTGCGCGTGATGCTGAAATCCGTATTTGTTCCGGTTGTAGTTTATTCTGTGGAAATACAATACATAAGATGATGTAAAATCTCAGTTATGTCATAATATTGAGACAGCACAATATAATATATGAGACAAAACTTATAAAGGCAATAGGTATTCTTGATGAAGAATAAAAAAAACCTCCTGCTTGTTAAAAGTGATTTAGCCATAGTTAACTACAAAAACGACATCTCCCACAATGCTTTGCTACTATACACGCGTTTGCGTCTTAGCGCGACGGAAATCTTTTTTTTTTTTTGCGACGGAAATCTGTTGTTAAACAAACCCGTCAACTGGTAAGCAGAAAGCGGTGATTTAACTCGAGTTGAGACGATTGAATTTGAAATACTATAGTAGAAATACGTTTATATTAATGTAATTGTTTTATTTTATAATCGTGTCATTAACATATATTGTCAGGTTTATTGAAGATACCTTTAGTTAGCAATAATAGCTAACTGTAGCTAACTAGGTTATTCTGATAAATTAGTATGCGAAGCAGTCTTGTTTAGGTTTACATTTAAAATAACGCGGTTTAATTTTGATAAACTCTTTGTAGATTCGTTTGTAAACATTTAACATTTAAAGGCGTATTTTAAAGTGAACGTTTCCGCCTTTCCCTGCAGATGAATTGATAATAATTCAACCATGGAAATGGAGAAACCAAAGGAAGATTGTGCTTCAGCCCAGCCAACACACGCACCTCCCTCTCAGCCCAAGAGACCAAGTCAGGCTCTTTACGTACCCAAACCTCGACTTCACGATTCTAAAGACAAACCTCAGAGTCAGGGAGAAGTCAAACCAAGACCCAAACCTCGCTACACAGACAAGGCAAGGAAAAACGCCAAAAACAAGAAGGACAAAGCAAATAAGACGGTGCCTGTCGAAGAAGGAGATGCGCTGGGCAAAGATGTCCAGGCTGATGTTGAGGAGGAAAGATTACAGGAAGCAGAGGTGGTGGTTAATGGTCAGTCTGCCTTAAACAAAGAGCAGACGGAAGCTTTGATACAACTGGAGGCTGCATCACCTCAAGATGAAGAGGAGAGCTGGGACACCTTATTTAATGATGATGGAGAATGTTTAGATCCACATTTGCTGGAAGAAGTAAGAGTTTAAATGGCTGTCTTTTACACTTAAAAAAATATATATATATACTCCAAAATATTTTGATTAATTACTGTAAAGCAGGGATGTCCAGTCCTGGTCATCGAGGGCCACTATCCTGCATGGTTTATTTGCTCCCCTGCTCCAGCATACCTGATTCTGTAGATGAATTATCTCTTCATGTTCTGCAGAAGCTCGTTAATCAACCATTGGTTCAAATCAGGTACGTTGAAGCAAAGAGACATCTAAAACATGCAGATCAGTGGCCCTCAATGACCAGGATTGGACACCTGTTGTAAAGCAACTCCCTTCATCTCGTCTTCCATCTTCTACTGCTACACTTTTTCCAGCTGGCCGTGAGGGAAGGTAAAAAGAAGAAGTCGATACAGGATCCCAGGTTTGATTATTACAACATGAACAGAGACGAGGAGGATGAGGATGACATCGACCTCAGAGAGGATGAACTTTCTCATATTGTAGAAATCTACGACTTTCCAGCAGAGTTCAAAACAGAAGATCTTCTCAAGTTATTTCAGTGTTTCCAGTACGTATGCATCAATTTGGGTTTTCACATGTTTGTTAAAATATGTCACATTTTATCCTCGTCTCTTTGTATTCGCCCTAAATTGAATAATGTGCAGAAGACTGCTTCGTTTTAACACTTTTCTTTGTAATGTAAAGTCGAGAAAAGTTGAACTAAAATAGTAGTTTAGACTGATCTAAATGACTGAAATACAAAGCGGTAATCCATCATGAATGTATGGACCTTGACAAACGCACATAAAATAAAATTAAAGCTTAGATCCAGCCAAAGGAAAGCATCTGAGTTGATGTGGAATGACTTAAATTGCTTCCAATTCTAATAAATTTAGTTTACAACAAAGAGCTAGCCCAGACCTGAGAGTTTAGCTCCCTGAGCTAATTCATAATTCTTTAATCTGTAGGTGTTATTTGTTATAAAATATATATTTTTTCCTGTGACTGCTGACTGTGTTTTCAGACAAAGAGGCTTTGACATCAAGTGGCTTGATGACACGCATGCACTGGGTCTCTTCTCGAGCCCCCTAGCAGGTTGGTGACGCTTGGCATCACTATTAATAACATACCAGGACGCTTCAGTAAATTTTTAAATATAACTATTTTTGCACCTTAACTTTGAACACAGTGGGATCAGAGGGCTACCATGCAGTTTTGAAACAATTATTGATGCATTCTGCTTATTTTGAAGCCTAAATGTATTATTTTACTTAACTAAGCACAGACTTTTACTGGAGTGTGCAATAATAATAACCCAAATAATCCTATACATCACAGGCTGCGGACTAACAGTTAGCATAGATGCTAACAATAAATCACGAAAGATTGATGCTGATGTGATTAGCGTCAAGTTTATCACTAGAAATTTATACACACATTAAGAGTCATTACTAAAAACAGTCATGCATTAACTTTTACCATTATTTACAAGTCATTTATTTTAGAATTCAGTGAAGAAAAGAGCAGTAAGATGTGAAAACACTGATTTACTGCAGCGTGTTTACTACAGGAAGCTACGCTGACTCGTCTCTTAAAATGGCAGCGCCGATTATTAACGAAATTACCGACATTTGAAATTTGATTCAGAATCTTTCAAAGCTATGACACATCTAAAACTAAATTCATCGCGTCATAATAAACCGACACCTCCCGCCTCCAGTAATGAAATGTTTTAGTAAAAATAAAAAAAAAGTAGTGAATATTATATGTATGACCTCCTAAAAATAGAAGTATTTGCTCCAGTCCGGAGCTTTCATGATGTTTTTCTGTAACAGTATTTTGACTGTTGTTCTTTTTTCAGCTCGTGAAGCTCTGAGATCCAAACATCCACTAATGAAGTTAAGACCACTCTCCAAATCCTCCTCTGCCACGAAGGCACAAGCTCGGAGCTGCTCAGGTACAAATGCTTTTTAGCACCATTTTTTTTATTTATTGGTAAACAAAAAACGGATGCTTTAAAGGTTTTTATCAGTTTCACTAAAACTCACTGCAAAAGAACAAGCAAATGATTTTTCATGAATTCTTTTCAGTTCAGCCAGCTCTTCCCACAATTGGTGCTTGAATATTGTGAATGTTTATGAAGCGTTAACGCTTTTGTGATCCATTTTTCTTCTGTACGTTTTTCAGCATCTTTCTCGTACCACAATTTTTGTGCAATTTCAACAACTCGTAGATCAAAACGTTCAGCTCTTTCAGGACAGTCCTGCTATGACTTTTGGTTTTGGTGCAACTTTATCTTTTTGAAATATGTAGCCTTTTCTACCATTTTTTTTTCTCATAGGAAATTAATTGAGCTCATTTTACATCCTTCATATCTTTAGATCTGTTTATAACCTTTTACTGCTCTTTTCAGCATATTTCTGCAAGTTTCATCTACGACTTAGCTGTTTTTATGCTAATTTTAACTTTTTTGCCTAGTTCCACATTTTTTGCTCTCATTTAAACTTTTTCAGCCTAATTTCAGCAAAATGTGCTTGCTTCACTTCTTTCTGGCAATTTAAGCTTTAAAAAAAAAAAAAATTGGCTACATTTCAGCTATTTTTTTAGTTGTTGCTAATTTCAGCTTTTTTCAGATAATATCCACTTTTTAGTGCTCATTTCTGCTTCTTTCAGCAAACATATTCTTTCTGCTTTCTTCTGCTAATTTAATCTTGTTCTACCTTTTCAGCTGCTTTTTTAAAGTTTTTTTTTTTTAAGTATTTTTAAGCTAATTTCAGACGTTGGTAAATTCAAGTTATTTTTGGTAATTTCTGCTACTTTCAAATTTTCTGCTATGTCAAGTACTTTTTATATGTATTTTGATAAACTTAGCTTTTTCAACTAATTCCACTTGTTTTTAGCTTATTTCAGCTCCTTCCACTTCCTCATGGTAGTTTAAGCTTTCTGCCTTTTCAGCTGTTTGTGGCTCATTTCAGCTTTTTAGCTATCTTCCTAAATTTTGTGATAATTTCTGCTTATTTAAATGTAATTTAGCGAATGTATGGCTTGTTCTTCAGTTTCAGCAACATTTCAGCATGTTTTAGCTAATTTCAGCTGTTTTTCAGCAAGTTCTTCAGCAATAAGCTTTCGCTCTACATTTTTGCAGGAAATGCAATTCTCTGGTTATTGTTGTGCAACAAATCTACTTATTCATAGATGGCACCTAAAAATTAATAGTTCTATATGTGGCACAAGGAAATATTAAAATAATGCAGCTATTTATCAGATTCCTTCTTCTTGCTCACAGACTACCTCCTGCCTGCTAAAGAGAGGCCGCAGACGAGTGCGGCGCTGGCTCGGAAGCTTGTGATCGGCGCACTTGGTGTAAAGAGCAACGTGACAAAGGAGCAGCGCGAAGCAGAGAGGAAAAAACTCCAAGATGCAAAAGGTACATTCACACAGATGTTATGTTCAGCTTTTTACAGTTGTGTGTTTGGAGTCCTTCTCTTGGATCCCCTGCTGAGATTCACTAATATTTTAAAAACCACAAGGTGCCCAAAAAGCTTGAAGTTTGGGCGTTGCAGGGTTTCCATCACAAGTGGGAGCTGTTTGCATATTTTTACAGAAGCGAAGGGAAAGTTGTTAAAGTGGTGCCAAAAGAATCCGGTCCACTGCTGTGCACACACACACCATGGCAGGTCTATAATCAGAGCAGCACATTTCAATTCATGGAGGGAACGTAAGTATATAGAGTCAGAAAACCACAGCTGCTGTCCTCTGAACCGTCAGTCCAGGAAGAAGGGGCCTTGACTGAAACTAAAAAAAGTTTCTTTGTTCCTACGTTCTTCAGAAAAAAGAATACAGAATCGCGTCATTTTCTAAACTGTGTTCTGGGAAGAGGTGCCACAAATAAAAGAGGATTTTCAGTAAGCTCATTCTGCACCTCCCTTTTCGTGGTAAAGACCAACGTATATTTAGATCAACGAGTCACCTTCAGCAGTTTTTTATTTATTTATTTATTTTTTCTATAGATTCGTTCTCTTTTTGTGATGAACTGTCCGTGTGGGATTTCTCTTTCAGATCAAAGAAGACTGGCCGCCAAGCAAAGGGAAGATGCTTGGGAGGGAAAGTAAACGGACTCAATTTCTTAATTTATTATTTTAAAAGTACTTAATGTGGAAGAGAATCAAGACTTTTGTTCCTTCTGCAGTTATGTTTTTGTTGCGTATTGAATCCCCTCCATTCATCCTCCTTTTTGTTATTGACCGTCCCATTGCTCGCTGATCAGGACCCGTCTCACGGTCAAAGCTAACGTCAGGACTTTTAACGACTTTATGATCATGATCTGTGTTCAAGCACTGAGTTAAATTGTAATGAACTTTTTTTTTATACCGAACCAAAATTTTTTGTTCTAGTTTAATTACATTTATTTAACTTATAAAAAATAAAACATGGTTAAGTCCATTCACCTCACCTGTATGATGACGTGTTGTAGTGGTCAAACTTAATTTTGCAGTTTATCACTGCAGGATTATATTCCTTAGTTATTGTACATTTCTAAACTTAACCTCAGTAAAAACATCAAACCTTGAACTAACACTTCTGCAGTTTTTATTTGTGTTCTTGTCCAGTTTTAAATAAAAAAAGGTCCAATCTGCTAAAACAAAGCTTTTGTCATTCTAAGAGAAAAACGAACAAAAATGTGTTTCCTCATCTTTTCAGACAGTTAAGGTAAATACTAGAAAGTTCCTGGAGAACCTTTGACGGGGACTGCCAGGCTGCTGCCTATTAAAATTTTTTGATTTGACAGTTCTATGTGTTTGGGTTTGCTCTCAGCTACTACCATATTTTTCAACCTGTAAGTCACAGTTTTTTGCATAATTTGCATGCCCTGTGACTTATACGCCGAAGCAACGTATTTGATTTTTTCTCATATTTATAAACTAATTTTTTGACTGAAATATGACCGTTTTCATTCATTCTGACTGAAAATATTGAACACTATCATTTTCATCCACTAGATGGCATTCGAGTACTAAGGCATGCCGTTGTATCATGTAATAAGTAAAAGTGGCTATTAATGACACAATCGGCTTGCCATAGCTGCCACCGTCATCTGCCTGGAGCAACCGAATCAGCTTCATTTTGCTGCGCTGTCCTGGCGAAATGCAGCTGATTTGACCATCAAAGTCCTTTTATTAAGTAAAAGTTCAACTGAGACACACCTTTACTATAATTTCGAGCAAACAATTTAAGTGTTAATTTTGTTAAATTCTTGTTAAAGTCCTCCCGTGCACGCTCCCACGGCCACCATTTTGCTGCCCATCAATTTTTGGCACAGCACCAGCCCACATTTCCAGGTTGTCAGTGGTGACACGTAATAGATGCGACGTATACGGCGAAGCGACGTATTTATGGATTTTTCCACTTTATTAGACGTATTTGGACTGATGCCACTTCTAGGGTGGTGTGACGTGTACGGCGGAAAATACAATTAACAAATTTCAGTTGAATAACTCTAAAAATGCCAGAGTTATCGTGTTTTTTTTCCATGTTTTAAATTTGGATTAAGTATGTCATGGGGAACATTCTCAGCTATAACCACACAAAATTTCAGCTCTATATGTGTAAAAATCAGAATAGAATAGAATAGAAACGGCTTTTATTCTCTCACGGATGGGAAATTCAAGTGTAACAGCAGCGACAGATGATAACGATTCACACAAAAAGTTCCTAAAATTATATATATATATATAAAAAATATATATATATATACAGTATTTATATATAAAGAAATAAGATAAACAATATCAATAATAATGTTCAATATGTATTGAACATTGAGAATGGCAGACTATTTACAAAACAGTAGTATAGGCAGAGTGGGTGATTGAGCAGAGGTCAGCATGTATTTAATTCTTATTGTGTTTGTTGGGAGCAGTGATGGTTGTAAATGGTTAGTTAAAGCCGTTTAAATGTAGCTTTGGTGGCCATCTTGGATTTTTGATTTGTATTCAGTATATGATGGGAAACTTTCTCATCTATTACTAAACAAATTTTAGCTCAATACCAGGGCATCTCTAAAATGATACGATTTCTAGTATCCTTCCTCTTTGGCTCAGGTAGCCATCTTGGATTTTTAATTTGCATTAGGAATGCATGCAAACCCGCTCTCTGCTATGACCAGAGCAAATTTCAGCTCAGTATCTCAAAGAATGACTGAGTTATAGCAGTTAGAATCTGCTGGGTTCGGTCAAGCGCTTTAAATAAGAAAAAATGGCCTCTTTGCAAATGACATCACCATGGTAACTCGAAACAGTGCCGAGCCGGTTGTTTTGATATAACATTTGTGGGGGTACATTTTGTGGTTCAGGCCGCGTTACAGTTGACGTAAAAGTAAGATATAAAGTTAAGAAACCATTTTGTTAGGTGGATAATAATAGGTGCTGCCTCAGTCTCCAATTATAATCTTAAATTCACCACCAGCTTTCAGTCCAAACTCCTTTAAAATTACATTTGTAACGTTAAACTGCTCAACTTTTCTGGTTACACTTCATGTAGCTTCTTCATTTTTATGGTTCATTTGGAGAGGAAAATAGTTTGTGCTAAAGAAGCAGCACAGCCATTTCCTTTAATCTTGAATGTTTTATTTATGTACACTTTAGTTTGACGCCCTGAAGTGTTTCAGCAATTGAAGTTGATACATTAATGAGTCAAATAAACACAAACTGTCAACTTTAGTTTTGTTGAGACCCTTTCCCTCCTCTGCCTGCTGTCGTCAGGGATTTCCACTTTTTCCTTTTTTAAAGCTTTTAGAAAATCTAACTTTATTCCTGCATTGTTTGTCAGAACCTCCCATCATAGAAGCAGTTTATTTAACAACGTTCTCAGGTGAAGTCCTCCAGTTCAAGCTACACTTTCCTAATTAAGACTCTTCGTACTCGCTCATCTCGAGTCTCTCCTGCAGCTTCCTGCAGCTGCCAGGGTCTAGTTTTGTTTTGTAGCTTGTGTTTTCCCCTGCGCCATTACTTCACTTCTCGGTGTCAGTTTCCTGCTCCACTCAGCCTGACACGACCACTCGCCTCCTCCATGTCAGGACTCGGCTCAGATGTTTCCCGTCACCCCTGGTCCAGAGATTCAGTCCGTTCTCCTCTTCCATGGCAGCGTTTTCACGTCACATCAGTTTTCCTGGTTTTCCCTCGAGGCTCCTCCTTGTTCCATGTTAGATTTTTGTTTACTTCCACAACAGCCCTTTTTTTTTAAAATATATAAGTAGATTTTTGAGCTTTTCAAGTCCAGTTTGCATCACTGGATCTGAAACTTCCTGCAAATTGTGACATTTGAGCATCATTACAAAGAATTGGCAACAATTTCAGTTTATTTGTGAAGACAACCAAAAGACCTGCAGCTAATTTTACTGACAGGTGGTTCTATGTTGACTTGTGTGGCTGAATAGAGACTACCACATTTTTTAGATATTTATTTGAAAACCACGTCACAATCAGGCTCTACTTCATGCTGGTTTGTCATAAAATTAAATTCAGTTTATTTAGATAGTGACAAGTTGTCTCTGAGCACCATACAAAAACATTCACATAAATTAAAAAAAAAGATTAATAAAAAGTTAATTCAGGAAGACAGCAGATTGCGTTGAATCACTGTGTCACAGTCTCCCATCCTGAGCAAGCACAAAGGAGACAGTGGAAAGGAAAAACTCCCTTTTAACAGGAAAAACCCTCCAGCAGAACCAGGCTCAGGACGAGCGGCCATCTTCTTCGGCCGGCAGTAAAACCCTTGGAAGTTTGACAAACTATCGAAAAATTCAAGGAATATGAATAATTTTATTCAACATTGTTAATAAATTATTTTAGGCAGGTCTTAATTTTTAAACCGATTAATGCCAGAAGGCAAATAGTGGGCGGGCCAACGGGGGTGGGGGGTGTCTGGGGGTCTTCCCCCCTAAAAAAGTTGAATAAAGTAGATGCTGTTTCCTGCATTTTGGTGTATTTTAAAGGGTTGTTAAACATCTACATTTGTAAACACTCTTCTTCTGTCAAGCACCCCCCCCCCCCCCC